GGGTGAGGGGAGGGGGAGGGGAAGGAGGGGGTTGAACATGTTAATATAGTTTTCACTGCAGAGACTTTGAATGATTCTGGAATAGTCCATGGAGGGAATCTCTAGGGATACATTATTTTGAAAGAAGTTGTTTGCATAACTGCAGAATAATTTTGTTTGGGTGATTTAATTTACTCATTTATTTGAGTAAATTATTTGAGCGGTTGGAGTGGGATATAGGCTTGAGAATTAATAAAGTGAGCAGAGACTGAAGCTTGCTCCCCATCCTGTCACTTTTAGTGTGTGTGTGTGTGTGTGTGTGTGTGTGCAGGTGGAGGGCCCAGGTTAATATCAGGAGTCACCCTCCAGTGCTTTCCACTTTCTTCATTGAGGCAAAGTCTCTCAAGTGAAAGCCAGAGCTTGTCAATACAGCTAGTCTTACTGACCTACTTACTTTAGGCATCCCCTGTCTCTGTCTTCCAAGGCTGGAATTATAGGCAAGCCATCAAACCCACCCAGCAGTTCTCCAGATCTTGGGGAATCTAGAGTCAGGCCTTTGTGCTTGCTATTTCCTTGGAAAGACTTAATTAAACTTTTGGGTTTGGTTAACAGCTGGCAATGGCAGATGAAGTGATGGAGGAAGGAGGGCAGGAGGGAAAGGAGGGAGGTGAGAGATGGGGAGGGGAGAGAAAGGGTTAAAATGTAAGACTTCTGAACGAAGCTAGCAGGACTTGGAGCAGAGGTGGAAGGGTCAGTCCTAGGTGAGGGGCAGCTTCTCTGTGATAAGAGAACTAGGGCACAGAAATGAACAGGTCTGTAGGCTTAGATTTAGGAAAGTGGGGGTAAGCTCCATACGATAGTCTTGCTTTTTCTGTCAAATGGAAATTGTAGTAGGTTCTCTTCAGAACACCAGAGCAGAAGAGTTTGAGAAGGGAGTTTTGAAGCCACCAGTCAAGTAGTTCTGTCGGATGAGTCACAGCAACAACTCACCATGCAGATGGAGGGAGAGAGAGAGAGAGAGAGAGAGAGAGAGAGAGAGAGAGAGAGAGAGGAGTTATGGTCTCCTGATGTTGGCTTTAAAAGATTGGTGGCAGTCTGCTTTCTATTGCTGAGATAAACACTGTGGCCAATAGAAACTTGAGAGGAAATTTTTTAAAAAATTTGCATCAACTTACTCCCCATGCATTGCTCAGCTTGCTCTCTTATGCCACCCTGGACCACTTGCCCAGACTTCCCCTACTAGGTTTGGTCTTTCTCTGTCAATTAGCAACAACAACAACAACAACAACAACAACAACAAAACAACAACAACAGCAAAGACCAGCAACAATAAAATGCCCTACAGGCTTCCCTACAGAATGGAACCTCAATAAAACCTTTCCTTCCATTTGATTCTAACTCATGTCAAGTTGATAAAAATCTAACCATGGCAGTGAGGGGGTGGGGAACCCAGAGGAGCAAGGATGTTCAGAGCACCAGAGTGGGTTTTGCAGTAGAGGTTCAACCACTTTAAATCAGGTATATGGACACATGGGGAAAAAAAAAGGAGAGTGGAGAAACTGGAAGAAGATTAGAGGGCTTACTGGATAGGTGGTCCCAAAATTAAGAAAATAGCTGTGACAAAGGTGATTGAATTGGGAAGTATAGAGACAAACACTACAGAATTTGAAATATAGAAGACAGGGAGGAGAAGGGCCCCAGTGGAAATAATCTGTCTTAAGAAAGTACTCTTGGTAAGGAGAGTCTACTATTATATGCTACAAAAGCAAACACGACGGCTTATTACTTGGATGTTGTTCTTAAGATATAAGAAGCAAGTTTTCCCCAATGAGATTAGGAAAATATCAGAACGGATTGCTTTATTATATATATACAGTTCTGACTAGATGCCTGCCTGAGCTCATCACGTAGTCTCAAGGAGGTTCACTTCTGGTAGATGAGGAAGTTCAGTTCTGGAAGATGAACATCCCCTGAGAGGATGCTGCTCAAAGTCTCCTGAAAGCTTAGGAGTTGTCTTCGCAGCTGCTTCACAGTTGCTGTGATGGGTATTCTTGGTTGTCAAATTGACTACATGTGGAGTCAACGAAAACTCACGGGCCTGGGTACACCCAGAAGAGAGTTTTCCTTAAGTCATCTGTAATGGGAAGATTCACCTTTCATCTGGATCTTTTGAGGTGAAAAGAACCACATTCAATGTGGACCACACTTTCTGCTGTTAGCCTATATCAAAGGTGTGGAGGAAGGAAGGATTTGCTTTTTGCCTACTGGCAAGTTTATTCTCCCACTGGCATTAGTACTCACTTCTTTGGGATTTTGGCATATACTGAAGACCAGCTGAGGTATCTGGCTGTGTGGACCAAATAAACACTGGATTCTTGGTCCTTCCATTGGTAAACAGCCAGTTTCGGACTCGCTCATCACGTGTCTATGTTCTATCAGTTCTATTCCTCTAGAAAACCCTGAATAATACAGGTCTACATTGCATAGTGTTGAGAAGAACTTTACAGACCTGTAACTGACAAAGCATTTCTAGGCACAGTGTTCAAGAGCCAAAAGTATGTGCAGAAAACCATGTGACCGAGAAGACAGCGCTGAAACACTGAGTTGCTCTAAGTAGTTTTCCCTTCTTTTACTTAAGAAAGAAAAGAAAAAAATGTAAAGGAATTGATTTCCTAGCCATTGGTAACAGTATATAGGCTAATCAGGAGTTTAGTTTCTGAAGGTTACACACTTATAGATATGCATATTTATGGGATTCTAGAACTCCTTGCCTCTGACTCTTCCCTTGTGAGTATTGAATGTGTTTTTCTGGGCTTGGCTACAGCATTCTGGACAGCCAGGAGCTACTGTAGATAACTTGAGACAGGTATCCCTAAAATAGTTTCAAGGCCATCTTACTAAAGAGGTGGTTTCTGTCATTGCAGGGGAGGAGTTAGAGGCAGTTCATGACCCTTTACCTCTCTGGATGTATTTTCCCCTCAAACACGCTTTTTTCAGGGCTACTTTTCTTACAATTATGTTGGTTGAAGCATACTCTCTTTGCAGTCCTTTCTCAGGAAACCATATTCCTATCCTTGAGTTTCCATGGCAATGTATCTTCTACAAGGCATGAGCTTTGGAGAGATCACTGGTTTGAAGTCATCATTAGACTTAATGGATAGTCATTCAATACTTAATTGAATTCATTGATCCTGTTACTGTCTCTGTTGGCCTTCAGTACCATCAGATGAATGGGACTGTTGCCTACAAGCCTGATGGGTGTTCTCCTGTCCAATGACAGAGCTGTGATTCAGGAGCTGTCACAGACCTCCTATTTTATCACGCCATCACTCTATCTGCCTGAGAACAAACTGTAGACTGATTAGATGAACCCACCTTGGCTGGTGCCTTGAACCAGGTGCAGTGGAAATGCGTCAGTAGATACAGAAGCCTAATAAATGAAGCCCTCCTTTAGCTGACATCACATGTTCTCTCAAACAGTGTCTTTTACGGAGAATTCTTAAGGTTACTGAAGACACCATTGCTTTCTGTAGCGAGCACTTCTTGTTTTATGCCTCAGAAGAACCTGTCAGATTTGCCAGTTCATTTCTTTTGCATGTCATGGAAATGAGGAAGGGCCAGCCAGAACATGGTAACAATACTACAGGACCAGTCTATTGGAGTAATCTTGATAATCAAAAGGTTTTATGCAGACCCGTTCTTTTATTGAGAGTTACTTATTTATTACAGAGGAAGAGTACTAGCTCTGTGTAGCAGGTTCATAAGGAGAAATGGCTGGTATTGGAGTTGTTAGAACAGTAGAGTTTCTGTAAATATACAGAAAGCAGGAAAGAATTAGTTTGGAAGTAGGAAAAGAGAAATAATTTTTGAGTTTAGACTGCTCACCACCCAGAACAGAATCTTCACAATATAACAAGAAACGAAGTCCAGTTCTAAAGGATGGTATTCCAAAAGACCACAGAGATTAACATACATGTGCCAAAGCTGTCAGAAGTGGAAGACTGGGGTTCAAGGATCGGGAGCTATGCTTGCCCTGGGTACTAGGGCAGCAGCCTGTCGTAACTTGGAACACTCTTAGTAGCATCTCAGGCTTCTGCTGAGACAGTCCCTGCCTTCATCTACTCGTTTATAATAAACAAATTCCCAGACAGGAGCTTGAACTTTGCACAATGTAAAGCATTTGCTGACAAGAACATTTGAGCCATCACTGTGGTCTCTCGCACTCTCTCATGGATAGACTGTGGGAGAGTGGTGAGCAGCAGGGCACACCCTCTGAGTGGCTCTGTGTCACTGACACCCATGACAGTTTCTCCCTGTTGTACTGGTTAGTAGATATGTGGTCAGTAATCCTTAACCTTATAGAGCTGTTACTGCCTACAATTTGTTTTATCTGTGTGTGTGTGTGTGTGTGTGTGTGTGTGTTCCCGTGCGTGCATGCACAGACTTGGGTTGGGACTGAGACAAGTAAGAATGAAGTCTAGTTAGAGTCCTCTCTCTAGCTACTCATCAGGATTTGATCACTGTGTCAAACAGCCCTGAGTTGTTTACATCTGGCTCAGGGGTGGTTCTTGCCATGGTAATTCATAACGTTTGGAGTACTGCTAATCTGATAAATGCTCCCTAAGAAAAACAAGCTGAAATATCATTAAAAGTTTATCTAACAAAAAAAAAATTCAGAGTATATAGCAGAAAAGTAAGAAGGAAGGTTGGTAGAGTGATTGCCTTACATGGGGGGAAGAGGAGGAAGGAGAAGAAGAAAAGTGGGAGGAAGGGGAAGAGAAAAAGAAATAGGAAGGGGGAGGAAGAGGAAGAAGAGGAGGATTTGTTTATATATGCAGTTATTTGCTTGCTTTGTATATTACTTTTTTTTGACTACTTTATTTCATGCCCTCAAGTACACAATGTCTAACAGCTTAGGAATAGTGCTCTCCTGAGAGGACAGTTGTAATTTAAGATGTCATGGCAGCCACAGAGTCTCTGTGTGATATTAAACCATGTTTCATTTCTCTCTCTCCCATCAGGTCTTGAGAGTGGACAGTAGTGTGGGCGAGGGCTGTCCTCAGAAGCTGGTGACTGCTAATTTGCTGCGCTTCCTCCTGCTGGTGCTCATCCCCTGCATCTGCGCCCTCGTCGTGCTGCTGGCCATCCTGCTGTCCTTCGTGGGTGGGTGATGCTGTGCTGACTTTTTTTTTTTAAATCTTTAAGTGTTTTTCACAGTCCAGTCATTATCTCCCTCCTGATCTGCCCTCTGACAGTTCCTCATCCCACTCCTCCTCCCTCATCTCTAAGAGGATGTCCTTACACCCCCAACCTACCCCTGCCAGACCTCCCGATTCCATGGGGCCTCAAGTCTCTCAAGGGTTAGGTGCTTCTTCTCTCATATACACATCCAGCAGTCCTCTGTTGTGTATGTGTCAGAGGCCTCAGACCAGCTAGTAAATGCTGCCTGATTGGTGGCTCAGTGTCTGAGAGATCTCAGGGGTCCAGGTTTGTTGAGACTGCTGGTCTTCCTATAGGGTTGCCTTCCTCCTCAGCTTCTTCCAGGCTTTCCCTAATTCAACACAGGGGTCCCCAACTTCAGACCATTGGTTGGGTGTAAGTATCTGCTTTTGTCTCAGTCATCTGATTGTTGGGCCTCTCAGAGGGCCCCCATGCTAGGCTCCTGTCTGTAAGTACATCATAGCATCAGTAATAGTGTCAGGCTTGGAGCCTCTCCATGAGACGGGTCCCAATTTGGTCCAGTCACTAGACCTGTGATGCCATCCTTAAAGGAAGTCAATATTAAAATTAACTGGGTGAGGATGTGGCTTATACTCCACTCCAACATTCTAGGTCCTAAAGTGTCAAATCAATGAGTGGATATTCAGCCATGTGGCCACACAACTTGCTATTGCTATTAATGCCAGTGATGGCTATAATAAAAACAATGTTTGAGGTGAGCACCATGACAACCGTGAGGCAGCTAGACCAGTCATTTTCTGTAGATACTCACAGCTGCAAGGAAAGGATCTCACATAGGACACACATGCTGAAGATAAGTTTATAAAGGGATTTGACACAGTATACCTAGGGAAGTTAATATCACCTGACCCTTTGCAGTGAGATGACTAGGAATCCAGGTCTCTGGCAGGAGCAAGTGCAGTAGCCAAGTGATCCCATCACCTCAGAGTTGGGCATTAGAAATGGAGTTCAAAACAATGACAGCATTGGAATGTACAGGAAGATGGATATAGCCCACACGTCAGAAGATCGTGTCTGCCATAGTGAGGGGTCGAGCATTTGAGTATGTCTGTCTTTGGTTTTCAGAGCTTTGAGGAAGAAGACCAAGACCACACTAAGTCAGCTTCAGCTTTGACTTTGAAAATCAAGGTCTTCAATACACACTCTAAATGTTACACATCAAATTTTAGCCAGGAAGACACCAGCAATTAAGTGATATGTGCTAAGAGTTCATTTGTTCACATGCTGCCATCTCAGTTTAATGAACAACAGAATAAGCTAGAAGAGCAGTCTCTCAGGAAACCCGACAGCTTGTTACAACTGCTGCCCACTAATATAACTCGGGCTCCTGTAGACACATGTGATCAAATGAGACAGGAAACAAACAGCAAGATAGTGATGATCAAATGCCATCACTAAAGATATAAAAATTGGAATTTCATCAAAGCAGCCCATTGTTGTTTCAAAAATTGGCTTAGAAAAGTCATGAATTTAGAATTGACAGTTCTAGTAAATATGAAATGTCTGTCTAGTTGTGTGCATTTAGGATCGTATGTGATGTTTTTTGGAAAGTAATACTTCCATGTGATATCTTGCTATCCACAGAGGATTTGTTCCAAGGCCTCCCTAAGATACCAAAACCCATAGTAGCTTACATCCCTTCTATGAAATGATGGAGTATTTGTAAACCTTGTGTGTGAATCCTCTGGTGACTTAAAATCACCTTTAGGTCACACATGATTCTTAATAAAAAAAAAAAAAAACGAGTGTAATGGTAGTTGGTCTACTGCTTTGGGAATAATGAGAAGAAAATAGAGTTTGTAGATGTTCAGGGCAGATGAAATTTCTTCACACCCCCCAAATAATGTTCATCTGTGCTTAGTTGGGTCTGTGGATATAGAAGGAGGGTTGTGTTTGTTTGCTATGAGAAAGTTTGACACTCATTGTGATGGGCACTGGGTTATGGTTGGAAGATCTTTCTGAGGAAGAAGAAATCTAACCATGTTTATATTTGCAAATGACGGCAGGGCTGGATACTGGACTTGACAGAAAGAAATAAAGGAAGGGAGGCTGGCTTATGGCTCTGGCTCTGACCCAAATGAAGATTAATGCAAGTTTGAAATAAGGTCTTGGGTACATTAAAATAAGAAGAAATTAGGGTGGGTTGGATTTGAGGGTAAGAGAGGAAAAGAAATAAGGCTGGCTCATAGCTTTCTGGCTTGGGTAGGCAGGTTAGTTGGGGCTAAGTGTTCCAGGAAAGCAGTATGATGCAGGCAGATCAGAACTCATTGGAAGATAAAGTTTGTATATTAGGGGTACCATGAGATAACCAAGTTCATTGGAATCAAAGAATATGCATATATATGCATATGTATACATGTAATTTACTGTCTATTTGTGTGTATTTAGGATCATATGTGATGTTTATTTTATATTTACTAGAACTGTCAATTCTAAAACATATATATATGTATATACATATATATGCACATATATTTTATAAATTTAGTTTTGGCTAATAAATAGAGGAATATGAGAACTCTAACACGGTGTCTTCTTCAGGAAAATATAAAGAGAAATTAAAACAACATATGATATTTGTTCTATGGTTGTCTTTGGAATTTGCTTCCACCCCATTGCCCCATGTCTAGGTCTGAGGCATCAGCAGGGATGCTGAGATGGAGCATGGCTACCCTGAAAGATGAGGGAATATCCAGGCACAGCTCAAGAAGCAGGAGCTTGTGAAATTTGAAGAGAAACCATTAAGTAAAAACCATGGACAAAGATCAGATAAAGAAGAATGGTCAAGAGGAGATAGGAGAAGGATGGCTCGAGAAGAGATGAAGGGATCTGGGAACTTAGAATTTCTCAGATGCTGAGGGAGGGGAGACAGGTGGTCAGAGAGTGACCAAGTAGGAAGAGGACAGGAGAGGGGCTGTGTCCAGGAGGTTGACCAGTGGTGTATCAGGGGCTGTTCCCTCTATAATCAGCTGTGTCCAGCTTCAGGCTAAGGCCAGTCCACAACACTGAGCCTTGTTACTGCCATGTCCTTCCGAGTTCAACTCCCAATAGATTTGTCCACTCACCCTTCTCCAGAGCCCCTCTGTGTGGCTGCTGTGTTTGGATTTTGTTCCAGATTCATAGTTTTCATCTCTGGGAACATTTGTCTCCTATGAGCGTCCTAGCTCACACCGCCATCACTGTTAGAACTCTCTTTCTCATCATACTATGAATCACTTACATATGCAGAAGGATATCTCCTTTCCTTCAAGGCCCCATGCTCATATAAAGTTAGGCATATGGTTACAAGCCTGTATGCTTAGTGACAGCTGAACAGAGCGCAGGAGAGGGTGCTACTGAAGCAGGGATTTGGCGTGTTTTGTTGTTTAGTTTTTTTAAACTTTATTTATAGTAGTTCTCTGGGAATTGTATATAATCTATTTTAATCATATCCATTCCTCGCAACTCCGCTCAGATCCACCTCACCTTCCCTACCCATCTAAATTTCTCTCTTCCTTTCTTTTCTTCAACTCCAGTTTGTGTTGTCCCTATATTCTTAGATCTGTGGCTTTCCACTGAGCTTGTCTGATTTATCAGGAACTGTAATCTTAAAGAAAGCCCATTGCCCTTTTCACAGCAGATGCCAGTTGCTAAGAACTCCTTAGCTATATGTGGGGCTTTATGCCCGTGTCCTCCTTGCCTCCCAGGGCCGAGATTTGGTCTGACTTGAACTTGCATAGGTTTTGTGCATGCTGCCACAGTGCTGTGAGTTCATATGTGCAGTCTCCCTGTTGGCTTACAGTCACCCGCCATTTTTGGCTCTTGTGATCTTTCTGCCCACTCTTCTACAATGACCCTTTAGAATGTGAATCAACGCAGCGTACTTTTGGATGGCTGAAAAAGATCCCATTGTATGGCTATTACAGGAAGTTTGTCCGTTGATCAATAGAAGACCATCTGAATTACTTTCAGCTTTGGGCCTCCACAACTTCTGTTCTCCTGCTATGTATTCATGTATAAGTTCTTGTGTCTACACATAGTTTCATGTCTTGTAGGCAGACACCAGCAGGAGAAGTTTGCATGCTCATGGGCAGCTTTGAGGAGTCTATTACTTTGTATCCACCCCTAAATTACGTCCTGCTTGTACATTGGAAACTTTTCCAAAGTAGGAGTCTCATGACACATCTTCCGAAGCATTTTTCTATGCGCTGCACAGCACGATTTCTTAGTGAAGCAAGATCTTGCCCCATGCCCATTTTTGTATTGTATAACTGAGATGCATGCTGTTGTAATGAGCACCAGAGCTACTTTATATCTTCGCTGCCAAACTCTCATTAAACCCTGCTTACTTTAGAGACATTCGAATTGTTGGGGCAGATGACTCCACACTCTCCCATCTCTTGCCGGTGCTCATGTGTTGACAAGGACTGTTCAGGGATCCTGGTGTCCAGGTTGTACTATCTGTCTCCAGCCTTTCCCATCCCTATCTGGCTTGTTCGAGGGTGGTAAATGGACTTCTGAAGAGGAGAGCTGAGTTTGGTACCCAGTGTATTCGGGCAGTAGGTTATGAAGGAGCAGCAGCATGCTCACATAGCACTCACAGGAGCTGCCAAGGTGAAGCTTTTAAGAAGCTTGACTTGTCCATATGGACTCCAAGATGTGGATGTAAAATAAAGATTCGGGCTTCTGAAACAAACTGAAGTGTAAGAGGGTTCATTGTATCTGAGATTTTACTTCCTTGGTGATCACACTATCCTGATGGGCTGGACAGCATAGAAGGAAGGGTATAACTAGGCACTGGGACATCTGGGGTTGCCATTGTAGCCCTTCGTTTCTTGGCTACATGGAAGATGGGAAACCTTTGTTTCACAAATTTCTTTTAAAAATCAAATGAAATATCTGCACAAGTGTTTTTAGAAGTGATAAAGTTCATGAGGAAGTCA